GGTGGTACTATGTTGTGCAAGCTACTCAAATTGTGTCAAATTTTATTTAGAAAAATACCATGTATGCAGAATTTATTTAGAACTGGTATAAAAAAAATCATGATTTTAATCTTATAATTCAAGAAATTTTTTTCTTCCGTAATAACATTTCTTCCTTCATATATGTTTTAATCTTGATATTAAATTTATAAAGTTATAAATAGGTAATTAAGATTAAAAACCTTACCTAATAATTCGATCACCAAATTGTTCAAGTAAATAAATGAAATTGTGAGTAATCTCATTTACACTTTTTATGAAAGAATAATATTTTTTATTTATGATTCAAATCTAATTTTATTAAGAATTATGATATAGCTCAATTATGAATTTTATTTTAAATTGTATTTCATATTTATAATTATAAATTCTACTTTATAGTTATAATTATAGTTTAATTATAGTTAATACTTTTGAACTCATTTATTAAATCATGTTAATAATTTGATGTTTTGAAATTATTTTTATAATAAATTTATAATTTTTAAAATAATAATTTGAAAATAAGATAAAAAATTAAATAAATATTAAATTTTTATAGAAAATTTGTAGCTTTCGAATCAATTAGTGGGAGACAACATGAATGTAAAATTTATAACATAAGTGCATAATTTTTTTAAATCAAATACGTTTTGTTTCATTTATAATTTGTGAAATATTTTATCTAATCAAATATAATTTTTAGGAAAAGGATACCATAAGAACATTTATCTTTGATATAAGGTGGTCACAATTAACTTTGATTATTGGATATGAAATTTAGTATTTGCATTTATTGTATGATCAAGCTCAAAGTTAAAAAGAAATTTTTTCGAACTTCGTGATACATCCAAGCTATCAAATTTCACATCAAATATTTATAAGTAATTGTGTTAGTTAAATGGTCTAATTGTATACAATACCTAGTTTTTAATGGCAAATTATAAATTTTAGGTTATTTTGGCTCTTAAGTAAAATTTTGAATTTCAAAAGTATAATGGATATAATGATGTGTCTTAATTTTATTGCATGAAATTTGTAATTTCATGTTATATTCAAAATTTTAATTATTATATAAAAATTAAAAATGAATTCAATTTGATAATAACAATAGAATGCCAAACTAAAAAAAATACTATATACTTGTATTGTGAAAGATAAAGAGAATATTATCTTTTGTAATAAAACTATTGGTTATTTTGGAAGAATGAAAAATAACTTTTATAGTTCATTTATTATTGGGGACATGCGGAAGGTAAAATTATATTGTCTAAAGTGTACCCATAAGAACACACTATATACTTGATCCATCAAGAAAAATATTCATTAATAGTATTTTATGTAATGGTAAATATGGGGGATCTACTTTTAAAAATACATTAAAAAAAAAAACGTTTAAATTTTGAGTTTTTAGAAAAAGTTTGTGGTGAGAAATTTTACATCCTTTGACATGTAAGATCAGCTTCTTGTTGTTACCACTAGTTCCGTTTGACTTTCCTCACTCATGGACTTTATATACTAGATGCAATAATAAGTCTGTCTTGTATTCCACGAATAAATGTAAAATATTTATTGATTGCCATCACAAACATGCTTATTTCATGTTTTATATATAGAAGATAAACCTTTTGTAAGAGAGTGCATTCCAATGAGAACTTCCCAAAATCTTTTCCTTGGGTGCCTTTAGAAAAGGGCGTGGTTTGTATAGAGCTTAGTCTCTAAATAATCAAATTAGAGCCTACCTTCAAATAGTATCGAGAAATGTAGTTTTAATATTGAAAATATTTGTGATAGTCTTAAAATATATTTTCATTTTTATTTATAAAGTTTAAAGATTCAAAAATAGTGTAGATCGATAGATTTATGAAAACTTGAAAATTGATAATCAAAAAATGCATTGTAAAATGTCGTAATTTTTAAAATTTGAAATAGGTTTTTTTCCTCATGTCTATGCATCTTGATGTCGAGATGAAGAATTTGAGTATAAAAACAACTTCTTCTAAAAAAATTATTGAGGTAAACTTAAATTTAATTGGTTAGAGCCTCGACGGCTCCGTATAAACGTTTCCCTCTAGAAAATGATGAGACGGTAGTCATACTTGGCTCAATAGTAGCCTCTCGCATTATAATTAATTTTGAGCGTGTCACTAGAAAATGACTTTAAAGTTAACAATAGCAATAATTAAATAATTTTTTTCAAGGTTACATATTGATAATATTGATTGCCATTGCCTTACTAAATCCGCTCATTTAAGGGCAACCCACTTTTACTCTACCAACGGTCCATCTGTCGGCAACTTGGCATAATAAGGAAATGTTTGAGGTTGTGTTCCCTAGCAGAAATTTATGTTGAGCTGGACTTTGGAACTCAAAATTTTGGAATTTGCTGATCTCAGCAATGATGATAATTATAAATATAGAATTTTTTAAAAAGTTAAATAATTTATTTTATTTTATTTTCACCATCTATCCCAGCTTTTAGTGAGGCTATCATTTTTTTATGGACAGGGTTTCTATGAGTCCATTTTATGAGTCTATGTGGAAATGAATCATCTCTTGAAAATCTATTTTTAAGATGGATTTTTGGATTTAATTTTATAAAGACATTTAATCCCTTACATGGAGGTTATAAAAATGAAAAAATAAATAAATTTTAAAAATTAAAAATAATAAATCTGCTAAAAAAATATTTGAATCGTTAATTTCAATTGTTTTAGATGGACCACCTATTTACAAGATGGATGCTTTATACTTCAAGAAGAGCTTTATACCTTAAGGACCGCACATGTAGAAATGCGGCCCCTGCCAAATAAAACAATTTTCCTTGTATGAAATCCATTTTAGAAATAAGTGAGACGCACTACAATGAGAATGTCGGGTTGACTCACCAAAATTATGTCATTATTATCCTCACTATCACCAATATAGTTTTTTTTCTAAGTATTTAGTTCCGAGGTCCTAAGTCCTTTTAAATCAGTAAATTAATAAATAAATAAATAAATAATAATAATAATAATAAGAAGCCAAATAAAGTAGGTGAAAAATTAAAAAGCCTCTACTCAAACACAAAAGTAAGATCGCTGGAAGTCTTATCCTTTAAATTCTCGTACGCTCTGTAATAATTGAGAGGGACATGTAGAGAGAGAAAGTCTCAAGTCTACACTGTAACTCTAGAGAGAGAGAGTCAACTGTTGGTCAGTATGTAGGTTCTAAAGAAATAAGAAATGAGATCATTCTTGAACAATATAAATTCTACTACCTTCTCAGCTTTATTGGCATTGACAGAGAAGAGTGGCCACTCTTGCTCATCATACATTCCATAGAGAGAGAGAGATTATTCTTGACTCGCGAACACTGTAAAATCTGTTACTCTCTTGACATTGGAAGAGAGAAAATGAGGGATTTCGTTCATGCCGACCTCAATTTTATGTACTCCAAGATGTCTCTCTTTGACAAGTTTCTATTCACTGTAAGTCTCTCTCTCTAAAGAGCTATGAACTTGCATTGCATTAGTTGATTAATCTTCTAATTTCCGAGTTTTTAATGTTATTCTTTTCTGAAATATTGGGCAGATTATACACGTGGTGGATAGGTTAGGAGCATGGCACAGATTGCCAGTCTTACTAGGGCTGGCGTATCTCGGAATCCGGCGGCATTTGCACGAGAGATACAACCAGTTGCACGTCTGTGGGTCAGATTCCGGCGCAGAGGCGTATGAGTCAGACGAGTATTGGTATCGCACAGCCGACGGAAAATATAACGATCCGGCGGACGGCATAACTGGGAGCCAAGGGACGTTTTTCGGTCGGAATATGCCGCCATCTCCGTCCACTGACAAGGTGAGAATAAGGAGCATAATGGCAATTTTCAGATGGGAAACTCAGTAATTTTCTAGAATATTCAAAATTTGAATTTCAATTGGAAAAAAGACAAAAATTCGTGAGATTTATTAGAGGGGGATTATTTTAGTTTTCAATGACTGGGGTTAGTCGATAGTTATAGTTATTTTTCATTTTTTGAGTCTTCTAATGATGTCGTTAGTCCATATTTATGGCTATTTTTTCATTTTTTTAGTCTTCTAATGATTTCGTCAGTCCATATTCATAGTTATTTTTCATTTTTTTAGTTTGCTGACGATTTTTATTAAGTTTTTTTTTTTCATTTTTATTTTGAGTTCTAATGGTCAGGCATAACTCATTCAAGTTATCTTGACCAAGCTTCGAGTACCTTGACCAATCGAGTGCACATCCAAAGGGAATAACAACAACATTCCCATATTACTTTACAACCTTATTTGGTTTCTTAAATAATAATAATTTGAAGTTTTGGTCAATTTAGGGAAGAATTCAGATTTTTTTAAAAATTGAATATAAATAAAGTATATCTTTTATAAATATAAACAAGTTTTATCATTATACTAAACAAATTTAGGACATTTTTATACTTTTATTTTGAAATTAAAGTATTTTTTTAATAAGATTACTTTTGGTCATTAAAAGTTGTGTGATATTATCAACATAGAGTAGGACATTATCCACATGAAGCACACTAATTATATTTAATGCTTGATATTACATCAGAGGACGTCACATGCTCCTAATGACTAAAAATATCTTTATGAAAAAAAAAAGAAAGAAATCCATGGACGAAACAAGGGCATATAAGTGTTCAAATTTTGTTGAATACAATGATAAATTACTCCATAGTGTGGACACCCTAACATAACCCTTAAGGGAAACTGTATCTCAAAAATGAATTATTTTACTACCACTATTTTTATTTAATTTGTCAAATCCTATCAAATGATACTTATCATGAGTTAGAATAGCTTGTGTTTTAAATTTATTTTTGTAAATGAAAAAAAAGAAAAGTCTATAATGAGGTATACAAGGAGGTCACAATTAATCTTGACTATTACATATAAAATTTGGTGGCTACAATTTTCTTATTGATTAAGCTCAAAGGTCAAAAATAATTTTCTTAGACTTTGTGACACATCAAAGCTATCATATTTCACATGTTATAAGTAATTGTATCAAAGGTAAATGATCTCATAGTACATAATCTCATAAATAAATTGTTAAAAGAAAATAGTTTGCAGGCCTATCAAACTAAGTAAAACCTTTACTCATAACTCATTGAAAATTGCGCTACAATTAATAGAAAACTTTTACATCGATCATTTTGGCTTGAACATTATGGTTGTGAAAAATAAATAAATTGCAAGCTCTAAAAATAATGTATATTGTAACAAATTATTTAGACTGTCTATTTCTCCTTAAAAATAAGTGTTAATAGATCCACAAGATCTGTACGATTGTTTGAGTTTCAAATTTTATTGTCAGTGTTGGAAATTGATTTTAGAGCCATGGAGATATTTGTTGCTGAAAGTGCTTTCCCAATCGAATTTGAAGTGAGAGTTTATTTGGTTTTCATAAAGTCTAGGACATATAAAAACTTCATCCATTGCTAAATGGTTAAAGAAAAAAAAGCTTATATCGAGCCGAGGCTCTAAACAATCAAATTAGAGCCCACTCAAAACTTTTACTAGAAGAGGTTCTTTTGATGCCCAAATATCTTCAAATTGATCATCCGAGAAAAAAATGAATTTAAAGTTTTGGAAATAGTGCATCTTGTATTGTATTTTTAGTCTGTCAATTTTCAAGATTTTTAAGTTTTCGTAGATCGGCTCGATCTACATTATTTTTTAATCTTTAAATTTTATAATTAAAAGTAAAAATATATTTTAAAGCTACTACATAGATTATCAGTATTGAAACCACCTTTCTCAACACCATTTGAAGGTCTGTTTTACTTTGATTGTTTAGTGCCGGCTCTATACAAATGGCACTCATAGTTAAAATTGAGATATGTTGTTGGTAAATTTTTCATTAATTAATTGTCATCCAAAAGAAGGATTGTGCATTAAAGATTTGGAAAAGAAACAGTGAATGAATACGGGTAAGTAGACCAGTAGGTATGGCAGGCGGTTGCAGATATGCAATGCTCTTGTTACCTGGGAATTTGGGAATTCGTTCAAATCCTTGACTTGAAAAGGTACAGAAAGAAATGTTATGTGGAGCGGAGAGTCCACATTGTTAACTTGGATTCCCACATTTTGTTCGAGAGATATAGTGGTCCCAAAGACTCTCGAATATATCATTTAAAAAAGATGAAGTGGAGGTCAAGATTAGCCCCAAATCGAACTACTATTCAAGGAATGATCATAGAGAATCAATGTGGGGTTCAAAATCAATTTTTCTATGTTCATTTTTATGATGAATAAAAATTGGTGAGAGATGGTTTTAGGTCGCACCAGTCCCTTAAGTCAGTGTGTTGCTACAAGTCAATCATTTGGACACACCGGCCCTTAAAAAAGCTGCTAAAAATGGGACTCCTAATGCCCCAGGCTCGAGCCAAGCTAACCTTGGCCTAGCCCGGCCACAATCCTTATCGGGCCTGCCTAACCCTGGCCGAGCCTTGATCAGGCTGAAGAGACCTTAGCCTAAGCCCATCCCTGGTCTTGTTAGGGTAAGGGCCGGGCGAAGCTGGGACAAATATAGGGGTGAGAATTGACCCAATTCAAATTCAAAACCTGGATTTCAAATTTTATTTGGATCTGGATCCGAACTCAAAAGTCAGGTCCGAATTGAAAACTAGAGTGGATCTGAGTGCAGGTGAATCCGTTCTGGATCTAACCAGATCCAGATCCAGATCCAAATCCAAATCCAACCCGGCTTTTTTAAAATAGTAAATGTTGTCACAAATTTCCAAATGTGGGCAACCCATCCAACCACTCTAGCACATGGTTTGGCATGCAAAACGTATTTTGGGGACCCTTTATGACCTGCTTAGATCATCTTTGATTACCCTCATGGAGATTTCAAAGGAAAACAAAAAAGACTTTTTTTTTTAATGTTAGGGCACTTAATACCCTAGATTGAATGCTCCTCCCATGAATGCGTTGCCCAAAGCCAATTTTGAGGGCGATTTGATTTGCAATATACTTTTGAGCTCCATATGTATTTTTATTTCTTAAATTGATGTCAATGATTTGAAAATATTACAGATCAGAAATATCCCATAGTTGTATGTTTGGGCCAAGACCTTGTCATGATGCCAAATTTCCCTTTTTCAAAACTTCGGGCAGTATGCAGGGCTAAAATTGATTCTTAGTTCAAGAGAAGATCGAAATTGCATTTATGAAAACGATCGAAAATTATCTATCAATACAAAAACATGTATTTGTCAGGATTCACTATCACTGAACTTTAACAATGAAAATTTGCAGTTGTTGGATCCTCATCCAACTATCGTCGCCGCGAAGCTGTTGGCTAGGACAAAGTTCGTAGATAATGGAAAACAATTTAACATGATCGCAGGTTCGTGGATTCAGTTCATGATACATGACTGGATTGATCACTTGGAGGACACTGAACAGGTAACTAAATGGCTTAATCACAAACATGAACTCAAATTTACATCTAATTACTATGATCATAGCTGTTATCATGGTTCATTTTAGCTAGGAATTTGTATAATTACCTTGAAAGTTCATTTCTTGACTCTTTATTTTATGGAAAAATTTTATGTAAGTGCAAGGCTCTAAACAATCAAATTGGGGCACACCTAAAAAATTTCACTAGAAGAGGTTATTTTGATGCTCAAATATCTTCAAATTGATCATCTCGAGATCAAGATGATGAACATTAGAAAAAATGGATTTCAAGTTTTGGAAATAGTACATCTTGTAATGCATTTTTGGACCGTCAATCTTCAAGATTTTCAAGTTTTCATAGATCTGCTTGATCTATACCATTTTTGAACCTTTAAATTTTATAATTAGAGATGAAAATATATTTTAAGGCCATGACAAAGATTTCTACATTTTGGCACTATTTAAAGGTGCGCTTTTGTTTGATTGTTTAGAACCTCAGCTTTATACAAACCGCCTATGATAATAGTTGTTGTTATCATGGTTTTTTGGATGATTTAATCTTTAGTCACTTGAGCTTTTATGTTTGAGGAAAGTGCAGGTGGAGATGAGAGCTGATGAGAGTGTTGCACATGAGTGCCCTCTCAAATTATTCAAGTTCTTCAAAACCAAAGAAGTAGCAACGGGTTTGTCCCATGCCAAGACTGGTCACTTGAATTCCAGAACTCCTTGGTGGTAAGAAAATCTACTTACTCTATTTCTTAATTAGAGAAACCAATGGGATTGAACAAAGCCTATAGATTATGTCGCAATTATACAATTATAAAGTAGACTTCAAAATTTCTGATCAAGAAATAGGTCTTCTGTTTTCTGATTTTTTCAAGTCTAGAGTTTGTAGAAATACTAGGGTTGGTAATTGGATTAGATTAGCCCAACATGGGTCCAGATCTGGACCCAAATATTTAATCCAGTGGGTCAGGTCTGGGTCCTGGACCTGACCTAGGTTTGGTTTAGTTCGGGGTTTTCCTTATAGAGTCAAGTTGCGTGCAGGTCAAGGTGGACCCAACCCTTCCAACCTTTTAATTAATGTGGTATTATATTGTTAAATGTTTTTGGAGTAAGGTTTTCTGGATCAGGTCGCCATCCCGAGCCTGCCCTAACCTAACACTCCTAAGAAATACAAAGGCATGCACATATGCAAATGTAGATCAAGTGTGCTTTCACATGTCCCCATAATACTCTTAAATCATCTATTCTTGTTTCAATGAGCAATTTATTCATCCTTTTCCATTTGTTCCTTTTGATTGGTAAATAGTAACCAAAGGATATTTTTATTTAAATTTTAAAAAGACAAGCTTAGAGTTTAAACAATTTTCTGAACAATGTTTTGCTCAAATATGTTTGTTTTTTTCTTCTTACAATAGATATACTTTTATCACCATCACTTTACAACTACCATGCCTTTTTTTATAGTAACCATTGAAATATCAAAGTGGATATGAAAGTAGGAAGAGGGAAAGGTGGTGGGTCATGTTGGTAGCACCCCTATACTTAGTTACCACGTTGAGGTTTCTAATCCTGCTCACACCACCTACTGATACCTTCAAAAAGCTAACTCTTTTATCGATATGAAAAAGTGGGTGGGGCGCATTTTCCTCACAAAAATGTGAAGGTAGGAATTTCTACTGCACAAGCATAATAATTTGGTTTTTGCAGGGACGGAAGTGCCATTTACGGAAACGATGACAAGGGGTCGAGAAAAGTGAGAAGCTTCAAAGAAGGAAAACTGAAAATCTCATCAGAAGATGGGTTACTGATGCATGATGAGGATGGAATTCCAATCTCAGGAGACGTGAGGAATTGTTGGGCAGGCTTCTCTCTCTTGCAAGCCCTCTTTGTCAAAGAACACAATGCAGTTTGTAACATGCTCAAAGTAAATATCTCATTCAAGCTACACTTTTTATATATCTTTAATGGAAATTATCGAATATGATAGTCATACCATGTTAAAGAATCAATAAGATATTTACTTTCTAAAAATCATTGCATTTGGATGCTTTTTCTATCATTTTGTTAAAAACAAAATAGCAGAATTGCATTTAGAACGGGGTTGTAGATCTTTAGGAAGTGAAGAGATTATGCTAACTTGACCCCCTAAAGTCACTCAAGCTAAAATACCCATGTTTGTTCTAGGTTCTAAACCTCAAACATGTTCTTCTTTCATCGGAAATTGTTGTTCCAGTTTTGAAACTTCAAACAAACACTGGTACTTCTGTCTTTTGACCCCAGGGACTTAATGGAATTCCCCTTGAAACCATGCACACCAGAAACAAATGGCTCTGAAAATTCCTTTTTCTTTTTCTTTGTTCCTGAAATTTCTGTTTAACGGTCGCCACCCATATTAAAACTAGAAGTGTATGGACAGGAGCATTATCCGGATTTAGATGACGAGAAACTTTACCGGCACGCAAGATTAGTGACTTCTGCAGTCATAGCAAAACTCCACACCATCGACTGGACTGTGGAGCTCCTCAAAACTCATACCTTGATGGCTGGAATGAGGATAAACTGGTAATTTCCATCGAAAAATGTTGATTTTTTGTGCTTTTCTTCTTCCCATTTAGTTTTCCCAAGGGGAGATGACCTTACTACTTTCCCAACAACAGACGATTGATTGATGATACACTCTCAAACATCCAGCTACCTTTATTGACAGCAGATTATCAAAACTTAGCAATAGTGTTCTACTAAGAAAAGGGGAACTTTATATACAGACTAGATAAAATTTATAGAATTACCTTTTGGTTCAAGAATTTTACGTGGGGGCCTTTTTTTTCTTTTTTTTTCAGTTTTTCCATGGGTTGAATGTTTCAAACATCGAACCGCTTCAATTTTTTTGTAACATCGTCTGCTTACGATCTAATCTATTCATTTGTATGGGCATTCCTATGTTCCAATCACCCGACCGATATACTTGGGAAAAAAAGAAAATCTTAAGTATGGGCTGGTTTTATATGTGGAGCATCGGACCACCCCATATAAAAGCGTGGGTCTTATCTACCAGACCGCCCCACAAATGCCAAAAAATGTAAATAAATAAATAAAGCAATCCGATGGTTGAAACAACTTACCGAATGTAACAAAAAACAAAAAAACTTACCAAAATATTCCTAAAAATATGGATTAAATGGTAATTCCATAAATTTTACTGGGTCTGTGCATAAATTTCCCTTAAAAAAAAGCCAAGATTGTGACCTAGAAAATAAAAAAAACAATTAAAAATAAAAATTAATAAAATAATAATAGCAATAATAATAATAATAATGGAACGAGATTTGGGCAGAAGAATTATAATTAACAAAGATTTGTATGCTGAAGGTATGGATTTTTGGGGAAGAAGTTGAAGGATACCATTGGGCACCTGGGTGGACCACTAGGCCCAATACTAAGTGGTTTGGTAGGAATGAAGAGGCCACAAAACCATGGTGTCCCATACTCCTTGACTGAAGAATTTGTGAGTGTCTACAGAATGCATGCACTTCTTCCTGATAAACTCATCCTTAGAGACATATACTCACCTCCTGCCCCATCACTGCCTAAGTGCCCTCAACCTCTTGAAGAGTAAGCCCCTCTCTCTCTCTCTCTCTCTCTCTCTCTCTCGT